ACATCTCTGTACCCAGTAACCCAGCATGCAAGCAAACAAAAAAAGCCATCACAAATGACTCCCCCATAGTGACAGAATCAGCAGTCCAGATTAATGCATTAAAAATGGTGTTTATTTATACCTTGCCACACACAAATAAGAAAAAAAATCCGGCTTTAACCCTTAACACTTTCTCTATGCCAATTTTTTGTTAGATTTGGATATAGTAGCAAAGGGTTAGATCCTCTATCAGGATTTTATTGCTATTTGTGTCTTCCCTGGAAAGCTGTACCCTATTTATCCTGGTGATCATTGTTCCTGGGACAAGCCAACATTTTCACTGGTATAAGAATTAAAGGGAAATCTTCAAATGGGGACAACTGTTTGGGTGTCAATGGATTCCCTCCCCCCACCCACTTTGAAGAGATCTCTGATTACCTGTTGTTTCCCAGGGGAAATTTCCCCAGTGGGACACAGATAGCCAAAACAAAAATACCAGAAGTGGCTCTCAGTATTCCCTGCTCCCAACTTCGATTAGAGATACACTAGTCACCCTTACTCCAAACCATTCATTTTAACAACAGTCTTCCCATAAGATTATATGTGTATGCAACATTTTTATGCATGCTATTTACCTGTAAAAGTCTCCCTTGTGTAGCCATCCAAAAGCCCTGAGACTGCTGCTGTGTGCTGCCATCTTGGATGTGATGTCAGCAGCCCCAGCAGACTCAGAGCTATTACTAGCCTGTGGTGTGCTTTAAATATCTATTCTGGTGTTGGTAATCAAATGCCAAATCATAGGGGACTGAGTCAGCCAGTTAGCAGCTTTGCCTGATCACTAATCCTCCTGTTTAGTTAAAAGCACATGACCAGTATCTTGGTCAACAATCTTAGGTCGTATAATTTGCTGAGTTGGACCTCATTCCACCTTACAATATTAACCTTCCTGGCAGTAATCCCGAGTGTGGGTTGGGGTTAATTTTCATTACCAAAAGCGGTAACCCCGAGCCACACTCGGGATTACACTGTGCATCGCTTACGTTGTCCACGAGCCCCGATGTGTCCTCCGACCGATGCCGGCATCCGTCTTCTGGGTTCCGTCCCTTGCGAGTGCCCGCGAGGGCGTAACCGGCGGGAGATTTAAAAGTAAAAAATAGAAAAAAAAACTGAGATATTCAGACCGCCAGGGAGTTAAAGTGACACTAAACTTAGGAGTTAAATCTTAAAAATGCATTCAAGTATCTTGACTATAAACAAAATTGTAGCTTATTTGTTTATCACTCGGCTGTAGATCCTCAAATCCTCTCTGAATTGATGCTGACACTGTCCTTCCTTCTGGAGGGTGGCTACATTTGTTCCCCATGGTCCCTGTGTGTGTTGTAAAGTAGCCACCGCTCCACGCTCACTCCTGTGATAGACTATAATTTCAATATAAATCAGTAAACTAAATATGAGATTGTAGTCCATCATGGTAGGGAGCTTGGAGTTAAAAGTTATGGTACTTGGATGCATTTTTATGCTTTAATTCCTGAGTTTAGTGTTAAAGATAGTGTGGTGTTAAAAATATACTGTAAAACTCATTAAGGCATTTGGCAAAACTTGAGCGGACATAATCTGGAGCAGCTGCTACCAATCTTACATTCCCAACCTTACTGAAGAAACTAAAAATGGAAGCTGATTAGTTACTATGGTCAACTGCTCTAGATTCTGTCTGCTCCAGTTTTGATAAATTCTCCCCATTGTGAATTGGTAGTAACATTTATCCAACTGTAGCTTTATATTAAAAAAGGAAGATCTTAAAAATAAATAGCTATAGGGTAGACCTAAATCTAGGCATATTTGAAGGTATGTTATGCATAAATGAACAGCCCACTCTGTAATTTAGCTCACATCAACTCTCCCTGTCATGTTTTAATTTGCCACACACAAATGACCTTCATTTTTACTTTGCTATCCCACGCCCTCCCACAGCCTCCTTGACAAAGATGGTTTACTTTCATTAAACACACAGTACATGTTAAGTAGGAAAGAACTGCCACTGTGTTTTTGAAATGTTCAGCACTAAAATTAGTGTTTCGAGCACAGTTCTGTTCAGATCGTTCGCTCACTTCTCGATCCTGTCACGGCAGAGAGCCATGACAGGGGAGGGACTGGATTCCCCCCTCCCTGCTCTGATCCTACAGTGCTGACTGGCGGAATGGACGGGGAGGGGACGGGTACAGCTGGCTCTGCCTCTAGATAGGCACAGCCAGCTGTCACTCATGCAGCTGGGTGGATCTAGACATAATTGTCGGGATCCGTTTCAGCTGCGGCGTCTCAGTATACCGCGAGCTGCAGCTCGTGGTATACTGAGCTTTGGGTAACGGGAGGACGCTAGTTAGTGTCCTCTTGTTACCCTTCGGAGAACTATGGGGAAAAGCCTTAACCCCATAGTTCTCCTTTAAGGGTTTAAACTTGGTTAAGAATTGTAGACATGTGCAGGTTCTTTTTAAGGTGGCAATGCTTTACAGAAGTTACAGTAAGAGGTTACGAGAAATCTTAAAACCTCTGCCACCATGTCCTCAATCCCCCTTAGATTCCAAAATGCAAATGTTAGTCATTGTAAAGGCTAACAACTGGAATAAAGAAGGGTACAGCCCAGTGATTTGGAAAATGAATTGGAAATAGAAACACAATGGCAAAATGTTCCAAAGTTTTGTGTGTGTTTAGTATGTGATGTTTTGTAACTAGTAGAGCTCTTTGTGGAGAGAATGTGGTGGCTCTTGCTGTGTAAGTGTAGTGTGGATGATGGGGGAATTAGGCTGCAATTAACACATCGAAAGCTAATTGCCAGGCTTAGAATGTGCACTTGGGTGTCAATGTACAGAAATAGACAAGTATTCCCTCGCTGCTCATTGTCTCCAATGCTGCTATTAAGTTGTCGCTGTATGGTGTCCCCCCACCTACACTGTCCTCCCACTGCAGTGTGGGGTTTTCCAAAGCTGAGGGGGTTAAAGAAGAAACCTTTAGAGCTACAATTACGTAATCAGGAGTTCATGAGTGCCTCTTGTGTGCCATAATTTTCCCTTAAAGAACCTAACTAAAAATAAAGGTTTAAAAAGAGGACCTGCTATATAGAACTAATTAACACTTTACCTTGTTTTCTTCAAGCTAATAGACTGTCCTATACAGAAGGGAAAATTGGTGATATTTCCAAAATATCAGAAAACAGAGTTTAATAATAAGCACATCTAATGCTCTAGTTAACCCCATCATGATATATCTGCTACATTTCTTAAAGTGTAGCTAAGCCCAAAAGCAAATAATTAATATATTACAAATTTTGTGATTTGATGATGCATTAGTTTTCTTTTTTTATGCTTTGTTTCCTTTATTTTCACCTGGTGATTCAACCAGTAACATACTTCCTGTTTTAGAGGGCTTCACTCTATGGAGGAGCAATGACGCCACACTTGGACAGCAGCATTGTCAACCTGTGGATGGGGTAGTGTCACAAGAGCACATGGAAGATTTCTTCTCTACGTCTGTTTTGGTGACAATCCAAAATGTTGGATTTCCCCTCAATTCAGTCCCTGTGACAATACTCACTAGGACAAATAGAGATATGGAATCTCCCCTCAGGAAACAGACAGCAAAAAACACAAACAAACAAACAAACCTGAACAAGGTTCTACCCCCTCATCATTCCATCGAAAACTCAAAAACAAGTTTTGACTACTTCACCCATTCTATAAGAAATACAGAGTTACCCCTTTTCTGGAAATATATTTGTCTAGCTATAATGTTTTTCTACTGGATTTATTATTTTCTAAGGCTCTGACCTCATATAAGTTTGTAGAACAGGAAGTAAAAAAGCCAAAAGAAATCTTGATCTGGTTTCCTGTTTCGGGTCAGGGTCCCAAAGTAAGAAGGTGAATATGACATTCAGGCAACAAGCAATTTCAGAAAGAGAGGTCAGCAATGAAAGCTTCTGCCTTCTACCTCATGACAGGTTTCCTTTATATTACTGGGCAGTGTTTGATGACAGGAAGCTTGTACTTTACCCATTTCCCAACAAATATGGATCTATGGCAAAACCGTCCAGCTCCTTTGTATTGTACATGATCAAACAAATCCATTTTAATACTTACCAATCCTGCACAAAAAAACATCCGGGTTCTGATACAAGCCAGTCTTGTAACCATAAACCTAGGCATTTGGTCATACGACTGTACCTGAAGGGGCGGATCATAGTTCAGGTAGAACCACTGATTGGCTAGTTCTTGCTGAATATCTTTCCTTATATGCCTTCAGCGGTGCTAAGGTGACCAAATGTCAAATAATTTCATGTTTAGTCTCTATAGTAGATTGGAGTAGTAGTTTTTACAGACACATGGAGGAGAATTTATGAAAACTGGAGCAGACAAAATCTGGTGCAGGTGTGCATGGTAACCAATCAGCAGCCACCTTTTATTTTCAAAGCTTACCTGAACAAACTGAAAAGAGAAGCTGATTGGTTGTTATGCACATCTGCTCCAGATTTTGTCTGCTCCAGTGTTGATAAATTCATCCCCCCATTATTTTTAAAGTATTTTAAATATCTAAATCCATTTTTCTTTTAGAAGAGAAGGGTTATCAGTTCTCTCATATTTTTTTCATTTGCAGTCTGTGTATCCACTGGAAAGATTCACTCTCCCTGTTGGTCCTGGAAGCAAATTGGAACTGAAAATCAAGAAAAATCCCAAATTTTGAGTTGTTGTTCAATGGGAAAACATGTAAATCTTCCAATGAAGACACTTGTTCTGGTAACAACTGTCTAAGAGGGGATAACAATATTGTATATATATATATACACAGTATACTTTATTTTGTTATTATAACAAAAAAATCAGGATGGGGTGGGGTTATTACAGGTATATGCTTACTACTCTAAGGTTACATGTGCATCATAATAGTACAGTGAAAACTTTCATAAATTGATGACAGCGGTTTGATTTATTGAATAAATACATATATGCTTACTTTCTTTTTTTTTTTTGCAGTAAGGTTGCATGACAGTATCTCTGAAGAAGGACATCACTATCTAATATTTGATCTGTAAGTAGCTTATAAATGTTGTCAGTATAAAAAAGTGTTCCAATTTTAGCCTTCCTAATATCGTGATATTACATTTTTAGTGGGGAATTGGGTAAGCTTTTTTCTGCTCCTCCCATCCTAGTGCTTGCCACATTTTTTTCATTTTGTACTTGCAATTTGTATAAATTATGAAACAAGGTAGAAAAGTGAAAGAAGAAATGTGCAAATAAAATCCAATATGCCTTATGACTAACAGAGGTGTACATGCATTGTAATATACACCAATCATCCATAACTGATTTTGACCACTTGGAGGTGAACATTGATTATCTCATTACAATGGCAAATGGAAGTGGGTTGTATATATTAGTCAGCAAGTGAACATCTTCTCCCTGAAGTTGATGTGTTGGAAGCTGAAAAAAAATGGGCAAGCATAAGGATTTGAGTGACTTTGACAAAGGTCAAATTGTAATGACAAGACGACAGAGCATATCCAAATTGCAGCTCTTGTGGGGTGTTACCGGTCTGCAGTGGTGTTGAGTTCAAGGTGTTGACTTGGCCTCCAAATTCTCAAGATCTCAATCCAGTTGAGCATCTGTGGGATGTGCTGGAAAAAGTCCTATTCATGGTGGCCCCAACTCGCACCTTACAGGACTTAAAGGACCTGCTACTAATGGCTTGGTGCCAGATACCACAGCGTTCCTTCACAACATACCTTCAGAGGTCTAGTGGAGTCCATGCAAAGGGGGACCTACTCAATATTAGTGGGATGTTGTAATGTTATGGCTGATCGGTGTATGCATACCTTTTAAGCATAAAACTGTAAAATACACATTAATCACAGCCCCCCCCCCCCCGCCCCCCGAAC